ACAGCTTTGCATTTTTAAAAACAGCAAAAGCAAGTTGAATTTTGCTTTCAGAACGTATCTTGGCTCGCTTGCTTACATGCAACGTAGCCACCTTGTATGTGAGATTCTCGGGAAGGATGATGGCCACGTCGGTGTCAGCGTGGTCTGTCCTGACGCCCTTTTCGATGGTCGTTTCAACCGCTCCCCCATTCCGAGATTCGAACCCAATGATGGTACTATTCACTTCAAGGTCGAACCGCTCAACAGTTATTAGTTTTCTTGAGGCATTTACTTTCTGATCCCCTTTGGCTTCTGGTAACTGAACTTTGAAGGTCATTTCTTCAAAGGCTTCATATAAGATACTTGAGGATAACAGCTTCTTTTGAACTGGTTCAAATGTTTCATCTTTAGCTTCCATCACGTTGTTAATAGTCTGTACAATTTCTTCTAGATCAAGTTCATCCAGTTTTTCGGTCTCTTCAGAAAGAGCCTTGAAGCTTGTAGCAACAAAGTGAATGTCAACAGGCTGAAGAGTAGAACCATTCTGAGTGATACTGGACAGAGTCGTGGGAATATTAGCTTTCTCAACAGTTGCATTGTTGTTGATTTCCCAAAGCTGCTTCGTCTTGTTCGTCGGTTCTCCCATGCAGCTGCTGGAAGGAGGCCCCCAGTAATACCCGGTGAGGAAACTCCCGAGGCATTCCCGGGTCACAGGCTCGCCTTCTTCAGTGATGCAGAGCTCTTTTGGCAGAGCAATAACGCCCTCAGCTGTGTTTGGCCAGGTTAGGTTCCTCTCTTCGATGCCGCCGTCAATTGTGCTTTCGCTGAAGCATTTTGTGGTACTCCTGACACTCTGTACTACACAGCCGGAAGAGAGCTCAGAAGTGCTTGCTAGCAAATCGAATAACTGAAAGACTTTTCTTTCATTTTCCTTCTTGCCTGAGAATTGCAAACAGAGATGAAAATTGTACATTATTCCACGATTCTGCTTACCAGGGAAAATACTGTAGTTGTCTATCAATGTTTTCATGGTAGCCAATCCATTGCTCACATACACTTCTTCGAACTTCTTAACAAATTCTGAAGAACAACTGCCAAAACCTTCCTCCTGCTGTGTTATATATCTAAATGTATTGTCATGTATTGCAGGAATGTATGGCCTTTCCTCTGACATACGTACAGCAAATGTTAAACTCTTTTTCTTGCGATGCAATAAAATATTAGATTTCACTAACTGGTAAGGCTTTGTCACCCACTGTTGACACTGATAATAGCCTTGCACAGTTATGGGAATTGAATAAGTACATCCAGGTTTACCTGCTCTCTTCACTTTGATTTCTCTACCATTGGCAAAACATTGTGGCAAAATTGAATCACGAAGCATTTCTTCATTATCAGTGCAAATGTCTCCCTCTTTGCGTAATTGTATCTCCCTGCTTGTCATCTCTAGACCTTTCTTCTGGCACAAGACAGCCGATTTTGTTTTCCCCTCTCCCTCTCGATCCCAGCCATGATGAGTAAGTACAGGGTGACTCAGACTATAGTTAGTGTTTGGCAGCCAGTTGACTACATCCATAGCAAGGTCATTGTCGTTTGACAGCCATAAGGGCCTTTCTGTGGTCATCCAAACAGCATCCACGCCATAATTATGTAGATATTGTCTGTAAGCCCAATCCAAGAACCCAACACCTGGTGAAGGCAGTTCAGCATCGTTATTTTTGCAAAAACTCTTTGCTTCTGACCAGGTGTAGTTTCCTTTGTTGATATACACTTTGAAACAGACCAAAGCGTCGCCTTTCCATGTAGTCGTTACCCATCCCATAGGACATGCTGAGCTTCCAGTTATTAGCTCTGGTACTCTATCCTCCCAATTATAATGTGGTATTTGCAGAAGTCCAGAAATATTAACAATGGAAACGAATGGGTTCTTTGTGTCACAGCTTAGTGTGTACAGATTGTTCGTTTCAACATCAAGAGCCAAGCAGTTGTGCCTGTTGTCTGGATGATCCTTTGCCCAAGATATGTTGAAGAGAGGCGATCCCCGATAGTCTTTGTAAGGAAAGTAGGAAGATCCAGGACCAACAAACGCCAAAGGACCTCGAGGTACTAATCTTCTTACCGGAAGCCAGAGTACAGAATGGCCAACATACTCCCTCATTACTTCTTTCATCAGATTATATATAGTTGTTTCTTCCTGATTTCCAGAATTATGAAATGACCATGAATCCAATATACTTATCTCATGGCCAGTCTTGTATGCCTCAGCAAGCCCTGATTCCCAGTCGCCTGGAGATGTAAAGGAGACGCACAGGTCATTGGAGATGCGGTAGTAGCCTCGAGGACAGGCATCAAATCTGTCACAGTCAGAGGCATCAAATTCAAGGGAACCACCGTGGGTGTAATTCCAGCGACATATGCCCGGTAGTAATTTGTCTCCCACCTCACACCTCATGCTAGAAGGTCGGGTGTTTCCTGCCTTCGTAAATGGCCAAATGACTTGACCATTCCACTTGGTCGGCCT